AATAATGCGTTCACTATAACTAGTGTGCACTGTATTGGCCACCAAAACGTGAATTGCATTTATGTTTGAAAATAAAATTGTCTTCAATTGAGTCCACAATCAATACACCAATCGTTTCGGACATCACTTCAGGTATGCATTCATTTCCGCTTTAACTATCACTCAACTAATCCATCGCTTATTCACACACCCATTGCCACCGCAATCGGATCCACCACTCGATCGCCGATCACCACAACCACAGACAACACACCACTGATCCCGTCATCCGCAGTACCAATTGGTTGGCCACTGAATGGATACATCGGTGCCAATGAGAGGCACTCTCACTGCCGTCAACGGCGCCACCGCTGCTGACGCGGCCGCCAAAGAGACCACATCCACGAGTGGTAGCGGTTCGGCAGCTATGGAGCAGTTCCTGATACTGGCGAAGACGTCCAAAGGGTTGGCCGCCGTCGAACTGATCCGACAGGTGTTGGAGTCGCCGCACATCTACGTCTTCGGCGAGTTCTTGGACGCGGCGAACATCAAGGAGTTGACGGCCACTCCCGACCACAACCTCTACTACGAACTGCTTCTGGTGTTCGCGTTCGGCACGTATGGCGAGTATCTGTCGCGTGAGTCGGAGCTGCCGGCGCTCACGGACCCCATGCGCGCCAAACTCCGCCACTTGACGATCGTCTCGATGGCCACGAAACGCAAACACATTCCCTACGAACAGCTGCTCCGGGAGCTGGACGTGAAGAACCTGCGAGCGCTGGAGGACATCATCATCGACGTGATTTACGCCAACGTTGTCACCGGCAAAATGGATCAGTTGAACAATCGCCTCGAGATCGAGCAGACAATCGGGCGCGACATCAGGCGCGACGACCTCAAGACCGTCACCAACGTGTTGAGCGAGTGGTGCAGGAACTGCGACAACGTGTTGAGGAATATCGAGCAACAGATAGTGAACGCCAACCGCATGAAAGAGGATAATCACCGCCAGAAGCAGACCATCGAGACGCAGGTCACCAACATTAAGAAGACCATTAAAGCCAATCAGGACGTCGACGACCCGATGGC